TAAGGGACTATAAGCGTTTGTAGCACAAAGTTTGGAAGTCCGTACATGCTAAGGGACTATAAGCGTTTGTAGCACAAAGTTTGGAAGTCCGTACGTGCTAAGGGACTATAAGCACTTGTAGCACAAAGTTTGGAAGACATGCATCATATTGTAACATATCATTCTAGCATGCTTTAGGCTTACTTAAAGAAGATTTTGTTCATGTTTTACCATGTTTAAGCTCTGATTTGTGTTGACTTGGCCATGCGTGATTTGCTTTGTATAGCTATAATGCATTCAAGCTTGTTAGCTTTGTGTGTCAAGTCCACTAGCATGCTTCACTTGGACTATTTGAATGATTTAACATCATTTATTATGTGATTTCTTGACAGATTTGGAAGATGGACTCAGTTCATCTTGCACTAATTATGTTATGTATTGTTTGATAAAGATCTTGAATACCAGTCATGCAAACCCCTTTATTTCTTATACCATTCACTGAGTATCCAAGCTCACCCTCTCTATATATATGTAGGTGATGAGCAGGAAGGCGGTGACGCCTAAGTGTGACTCGCAAGCTGTTTTGGGTTTTGTTATGTCGGCTTAACTTGCATACACGTCGGCAGTCTTGAAAATTATGCTTCTCGGCTTATGATGCTTGTAATTTACACATGTCGGCTGAAGAAGCCTTTTGATCAAGATGTAAAATGTATTTTGTACTTTATTGTATTTGTATCCAAGTGGTAATATTATGTAAAGTTGTATGCTATTCCATATAACTTACGCACTGCTCTTATGGACCACTTGTATTTTAAAATTTTGCTTCCGTACTTGTGAGCCCCCTATATATATACATTTTATACTCTGTTTGTGTGTGAAATTTTGAAAGTTGGCCTTCGGTAATCTCGGGTTACTGGCCATCACGGCACTAAACTACTAGGGGCAGTTTGGGGTCGTGACATGATGGTACAACTGAATCTTCTAAGGCCTGAATGAACTGCATAGAACAGATGTTAGAGGCTCTAATAGAATCAATGTTACAATAACAGAGACAACAACCTCTGCCTTCTCCACCCCCTCTGATCCAAGTAGAGCTGGTCAATAACGACATTATCAATTTGACTAAAAAATTTAACAAGATGAAGCCACCAACTTTTCTAGGTGGTATTGAACTATTGAAAGCTGAAACGTGGATGTTAGAAACTGAGAAATTATTTAAGGTGTTTCTGTGCTCTGAAACTCAAAAAGTAATGTTAGCTACTTATACTTTAAAGGAACAAGCTCGACGTTGGTGGATGCTTATCCGCACTGACAATAGGGCCATAACCTAGGATCAATTCAAAGATATTTTCTACAAAAGTACTTTCCCCAGTGCTTTCGAGATCGCAAAGTGTCTAAATTCCAAGAACTCAAGCAAAACAATATGTCAGTGGCCAAGTATGAGGCCAAGTTCACTGAATTAGCTCATTTTTCCCCATACATGGTAAATACAGATTATAAGAAAGCTCAAAAATTTGAAGGAATGATGGATCTAGCTGTGTTTGATTGGGTCGGTGTATTGAAACTGCCCAAATACGTTGATGTGCTTGATAGAGCTCTAATGGTTGAAGCCACCCTGGCTGCAATGAAAAAAAATGAAAGCTCCAATAATTGAATGGAAAGGTAAAAGATCTGTGTACAAGTTTAGAAAGGGCCGTTCATTTGCTATGAACATGAAGCAAAACATGGGATTTACTAGCAACTCAAGTCAGAGTAGTGGATTTACACCTGTTTGTTCTGAATGTGGAAGAAAACATAAGGGTATCTGTTATCGTGCAACTGGTGCTTGCTTTTGGTGTGGCAAGATTGGCCACATGATGAAAGATTGCCCACTCATAGCTGAAAATGCCAACTATCCTGTGACAAGTTTGGTTGGATCCGCTTCTGCACCAAGATTAAATGTGAGAACCAATACGGGGAGAGAAACTTTAAGACAAGGTTGAGTGTTTGCACTTGTTCCTAGCAAGATTTAGATCACTAAATCTGTGGTGTCAGGTATACTCCCTATTTGTGCTCAAAATGCATATGTGTTGATAGATTTTGGTTCTACACATTCATTCGTGTCGCATGCTTTTTCTCGCAAATTGACTAGACCACTAGAACCCATGAATTATTTGTTGTCTGTATCTACAACTTTAGAGGATTCTATGATATGTGCTTATGTGTATCTTGCGTGTGACATCATGATTAGGGATGTGCTATTATACGTTGATTTACTGCCATTGGACATTGCTCATTTTGATTGCAGATTGGGTATGGACTGGTTGACTAAGTATCGTGTAACTATTGATTGTGTGAATAAATTTTTTGTTTTCTGACCACCTGGCTTGTCTAAATTTGTGTTTGCTGGGAATGGGTTAGTTCCACCTCCGTATATGATTTTTGCTTTGAAAACTGTCAAATTGCTAAGAAATGGATATAGAGGTCATTTGTGCAGTGTTCTAAATATGACTTCTGATAGCCCTAATGTGGAAGCTATTCCTATAGTTAATGAATTTCCTGAGGTGGTTCCAAATGAAGTACTCGGTGATTTGATTGATAGAGAAATTGAATTTACCATTGATGTAGTGCCTGGAACACAACCAATTTCCAAAACCCCATATAGAATGTCAATCTCTGAATTAAAAGAACTGACAGTCCAACTTCAAGAACTACAAGACAAGAAGTTTATCCAACCGAGTACTTCACCTTGGGGTGCTCAAGTTCTATTTGTTAAAAAGAAAGATGGGTCCTTGAGGTTATGTATAGATTACCAGGAATTGAACAGAGTAACTGTCAAGAATAAATACCCATTGCCCTGAATAGACGATTTGTTTGACCAACTCCAAGGAGCCCTAGTGTTTTCAAAGATAGATCTTAGGTCCAGGTACCATCAGTTGAAGGTTAAGACATAAGATGTATAGAAAATTGCCTTTCAAACTAGATACGAACATTATGAATTCCTAATAATGCCATTTGGAGTAACGAATGCACCTGTCGCCTTCATGGACCTAATGAATAGGGTGTTTAAACCATATCTGGATGAATTTGTTGTTGTATTTATTGATGATATTTTGATTTACTCCAAGAGCAGGGAAAATCACGAAAATCATTTGAGAACCGTGCTACAGATTCTGAGAGAAAGGAAGTTGTATGTAAAACTCTTCAAATGTGAATTTTGGCTTGACAGTGTGACTTGTCTGGGACATGTGATTAACAAAGATGGCATATCAGTGGACCCACAGAAGGTTGAAGCTATTATGAATTGGCCAAGACAAACAAATGTATCAGAAGTTAGAAGTTCTTGGGGCTTGCTGGCTATTATAGAAGATTTGTGAAGGACTTCTCCAAACTTTCCATGCGATTGACACAATTGACACAGAATAATGTATCGTTTGATTGGAATGATCAACACAAGTCTGCTTTTTAAGAATTGAAGACTAGATTGGTGACTGCACCACTCTTAACTTTGCCAAATAGTGCTGATGGGTTCCAAATCTACAGTGATGCTTCGAACAAAGGTTTGGGATGTGTGCTAATGCAAAACAGAAAAGTAATTGCCTATATTTCTCGGCAACTCGGCCCACATGAAAAGAACTGTCTAACCCATGACTTGGAACTCGTAACTGTGGTTTTTTCTTTAAAAATCTAGTGCCATTATTTGTATGGAGTAACTTGTGAAGTGTATACGGACCATAAAAGCATAAAATATTTCTTCACTCAAAAAGAACTGAACATAAGACAGAGAAGATGGTTAGAGTTGATTAAAGATTATGACTTGCAGATTTTGTACCATCGGGAAACACAAATACAGTTGCAGATGCTTTGAGCCGAAAGTCTATTGGAAATTTATCATGTTTGCTCATTAGCCAGAAAGAATTGTTGTGTGATCTGGAAAGAAATGAAATTGAAGTTGTTTTACGTGAGCATGGTGGAATTCTAGCTGCCATTTCCACACAACCAGCTATCATAGAGGAAGTTAAGGAAAAACAATTAGAAGATGAGCTTTTAAAGAAAATCATCGATGAGATTGACTCAAAATTGAGGCCCAAATTTGTGTTTGAAGAGAATGTCATGAAATTTCAAGGAAGACTTTGTGTACCGGATTGTTTAGACTTGAGAAAACGTGTCATGACAGAAGCTCATAATTCCAAATTTGTTATGCATCTGAGAAACTTGAAAATGTACAAGGATTTGAAAATGAATTTCTGGTGGCCTGGCACGAAAAAGTGTATTGCTGACTTTGCAGCTCGATGCTTGCATTGCCAACAAGTGAAAGCTGAACATCAACGACCCGCTGGATTACTTCAGCCGTTCCAGTACCAGAATGGAAATGAGAGCATATTATGATGGATTTCATTGCCGATCTACCTCGTTCTTCTAGTGGTATGGACTCTATCTGGGTAATTGTTGATCATTTGACTAAATCCGCACATTTCTTACCTGTCAAAACTTTTTATAATGCGGATAAATTGGCTAACATTTATGTGAATGAGATTGTGAGATTGCATGGAGTACTAATCTCTATTGTATATGACAGAGATCCTAAGTTCACTTCAAGATTCTGAGAGAGTTTACAGAAAGCTTTGGGAACTGAGTTGTGACTGACCAATGCTTATCACCCATAGACAGATGGCCAATCTGAACGGACTATTCAAACTTTGGAAGATATGTTGAGAATGTGTGTGTTGGATTTCTAAGGGAACTGGTAGAACTAGTTGACTTTGGCCGAGTTTGTGTATCATAATAACTATCACTCAAGTATTGGAATGGTTCCTTATGAAGCGTTGTACGATAGAAAATGCCGATCTCCAATTTACTAGTCTTAAGTGGGAGATAGACCATTATTAGGAATGAAACTTGTACAAGAGACGACCGAGAAAGTGAAACTGATTCAGTAAAGACTGAAAACTGCACAAAGTCGTCAAAAGAGTTATGCTGATGTCTGAAGATGAGACAAAGAATATGAAGTTGTGGATCATGTGTTTATCAAAGTAACTCCTATGAAAGGGCAGACACGGTTTGGAGTGAAAGGAAAGTTGGCACCAAGGTACATTGGACCGTATGAAGTCATTGAGAAAATCAATTTGGTAACATACCAAGCACCTCTACCTTCGGTCATGGAACATATGCATAGTGCTTTTCATGTTTCGATGCTTCGGGACTACTTGAGAGATCCATTACATGTGATGGAACTGACTCATGTGCTTCTGAAAGATGACTTCACCTATAAAGAACGACCAATCCAAATTGTGAATCGTCGAATCAAAAGACTGAGAAATAAAGAAATCCCATTGGTGAAGGTTGATTGGCAAAATCATGGAGAAACTTATGCAACATACGACATGGAAGAGGACATGATGAAGAGATACCTTGATTTGTTTTCTCTAGACCTGGCATTTTTCTAAAACGAAGGTAATTTAAGTTTGGAGGACCAAACTCTTTAAGGGGGAAAGACTGTAACAACCCCAACCTATGGTTAGCCTATAATCCTTAATTAAAAATGCTTAATGAGTAATTAAGGAGAAATCATGTGTCAATTATGCAGTACATGTGTGAATTGTGTTTATATCTATCCATGGTGGGAATATTCGTCTATATTTCTATTTCATTATGTGAATTGAAAGCCTTATCGGCATCCGATCCCGAAATTGACTTTGTTTATGTGTTATTTAGAATTTTTAAAATTTTATGGTAGGTTTAATTGAAATTCGATTCGGAATCAAATAATTAGAATAAAATAATGCCAATTAATTAGGCCTAAACCAAGCTTAATTAAGGAAACCTAAGCAAGCCTATATAAGGCCAAATTGACTCTAGAACATTACATACACCTCCATTATCATCATCTTCTTCAACAAAACGTAGAGAGAGGGAGAGGAGAAGGAGAATTGAACTCAACAAAGAAATTGCTAGAGATTTAGAGGAATTGGAGAGAACTTAGAAGATTAAGCTTCTACACTTGAGAATTCAAGGCTTAAGATATGAATTCACCCTTTTAGTTATGTAATAGGGTTGTTTCATGCATGAATTCAAGAGAGTTAGATAATTAATCCAAGAATTTAGCTAAGGAAGAAGAATGAAGAAGATAACCATACATGCATGCAAATTTTCTTACATTTGGAGTTTGATTTTGAAGAATTCTCACATGCATGCATAGATCATAGTTTGGTTTTGGAAATTCATCAAGTTTCATACCATTTTACCTTGTTTGATTATGTATTGGAAGGTTTGAGTTCATATCAATACATGCATGTTATGTTTTCTAAATTCCAAGTTTGATTTTGGACAATTCACTTACTTTTTGGCATTGATTTTGCGAAATGATTTTTAATTCATGATGTTTTATAAGTTGGCAAGTGTTTCCTTATGTTTTGGTCCAAAAAAACATGTTTTGGTGGAATAGAATTGGATTTTGGACTTAGAACTACAATCTGGAAATTCCAGAATTCTGCATCACCGCTCAAGCGACAAAATCTGCGCTCGAGCTACCACTCTTTGTTTTGCAGCTTAGCTCAAGCGTAAAATTCATGCGCCCAGAAGTTCTACAGAATTTTTGCAGACCGCTCGAGCGACCAAAGTTGCGCTCGAGCGAGGACCCTGTTTACTTAGTCTTTGGCTTGAATGACCGTCGAGGGTCCGTCGAGCATAAAAATCATGCAACCAGTACTTTTGCAGACTTTGCAAACCACTCGAGCGACCAATGTTGCGCTTGAGCGGACTGCTCTATTTTTGAAAATTTGACTAAGTGTTTCAAGTTACATTTTGGCATCCTCATTACATCCTAGGAATTCCTAAGCCCTAATTAAGACATAATAATGAAGACAAGGATTAGAAACACACCAAGATAGAACATGAATGAATTATGTGTTTTCCAGGTGTGAGTTTCAATGTGCATTTGTTAAGTGTTTATGTAGGTCACGCACCATAAACTATCTGATCTATTAGCTCTGCCCATTCTACTATCGGAGCTATCTGTGGGTAACAACTTTGTAAAGCTGCATTTGAATATAAGTAATTTCTGGATGATAAGATGTGATTTGGTTTATGAAATGCTATCTTGTGAATCATGAATGAATGTCCAATTTTCTGAAATGTATTTGTGGCATCCTTAGTTCACGTGGCCCTCGCCGGGGGGAAACAATACCATGGCTTATGATTATATGGCCCTCGCTCGGGGGAAATAATACCGTGGTCTATGTTATATGGCCCTCATCTGAGGGAAGTAATACCATGGCAACTTGTGCACAAGATATGAACCTTCAGGGTCGTCGGTACCGACTATGCATGTGTGTCCCAGGACTAATTTGATATGATAGCTAATGGATGTACCATATATTGCTTATGACTTCTGATAAGTGTATGAATCTGAATCTGTTTTTGCTATGAATTATGATTTTTGAAACTGTTTGGACATCATTCATAAAACCTTTACTCTATTGTTATTTACTGGGCTCCAGCTCACTGTATATTTATGCAAGTAGGTGATCAGGCCCATGATCTGGCCTAAGCTACTGCCTGGATTCGTTTTGTGTCAGTCAACCAGTATGCCTCACGAGGAGGTTCTGAAATGTTTTGTGAATCAAGTTTTTGAGACTTTTGTATTTCTTATGTTTCATTTGAACAAGTTTTTGTAAGTTCTGTATATGTGGGTTTTGGTGACGTAAGACTAACGTAAATATGATGTCACTGATATGTATATAAAGTTTTAAGTTTTCTTTTCCATATATGTCTGCAGAGCTCTATGGACATTATATTATGATATTTGCTTCCGCTAGCCCCTTAATTTTGCTTAATCTGTTCAGAGGCCTTAGGTAATCCTAGGATTACTGGCCGGTTACGGCGCTAAACCTAAAAGTACGGGTTTGGGTCGTGACATATCTAGGGTGGATCTAAGGTAAACATTAGAGAAATCAAGTGTTTGGGGCTCTAGGGTTTCGGTATTGAGGATAAGGAGAGAAAAGAGGAAGAAAGAATAAAGATTTTGGGCCAAAAAGTGACTTTAAAGTGCTTGATATCGACCCGGCCGCTCAAGCAGTCAAAGCTTGGCTTGAGCAGTTAAAAGAAGCCCCCACAATCTCTGAAATTTACTCACACCGCTCGAGCGGTGCAAAGTTCGCTCGAGCGGACTTGTTTCCAGCACAGATACTCAAATTTCAAACGGGCATAACTCTCGCGTCCAAACTCCATTTTAGGTAGCCTTACATCCAAATTCAAAGTGTGGATAGAGAAAAGGATAAAAGAGTGAAGACTACTCATAGGACAATTATCTGAATCAATGTTTTTAGTCAAATCTTACTTTACCATTGTGATATCACCCCAATCAATACTCTAACATCAACCAAAGAGGCTCCAAGTACAATAATAAGAGTGTCAAAAGGAATCCCATGAGTTTAAGAAGTTCAAAGTGTTACAATCTCCCCACCTTAGGAAATTTCGTCCTTGAAATTAAACAGTTCAAGATCCAAAGTTTTGACAATACTAAGTGAAATAAAGATTGGAACTAACACTCCCACCAACTAATCACAAATGTTTTCTACTCAACAACAAGTTCCTAGAAGATTCTCTCAACGTAAAAGATTTCGCGTGATGAACAAGAAACAAGTTCCATGAAAGAAGATAAGGCAACCCAATGATGTAAGGGGTAGAACAATTCCCAATAAAATTACAATCAGCACTCCAAAATCTAGTTCAAAAATCTAAGGTTAACTCTCATATTTTCAGGTTCCACATTAATATTCATTCACAAGGATTACCAAGGCCCACCCAACCCAAACATGCGGCTTTTATTGCGCACGGGTCCCTATTTAGCAAGATTAGACAAAATGGTCATGAGCACCTCTAACAAGCCACAAGAACATATCGATTCCACGAAACTAAAGGTCAAGGGTAAAAGTCTCACTAACATACACTACAGTACTCCTGCCTTAAGCAGACTTAACTTCCAGAGAATGACTCTCGGTTGTCTAACGACCTAGAACCTTAGAAAAAAAAATAGTTCTCACACTACATTCACAATCCAAGAAATAACTACCGATCACTTGGTAACCCAATTTTCAAAAGAATATCCCACATCACTTCAGAAGTCCTCAACCTTCTCTCATGAATAGAAAAGAAGGAAAAAGAAAAATTTTATGATAGGAATTCTATCCGCCAATCATGGCCTTTCAATGAGATACAACCCAGCAAAATCAAGGCACCATAGGTCATGTTCTTGCAATATAGCTAGTATTCCATATCCACATGTTACTCAACTGCGTTATTGAAATACTCAGAAGTTAACAATACCCAAAATAATATTTCCAGACCTTCAAAATTTGAAGGAATTCATAATTGGTATAAAACTATATATATAAATAAAGGGACGGTTTTAGATATGTAAAAGTGAATGGTAAAAATAATGAGTTTGTCAAGGAACGATTTTGTGAAATGGTTAAGGTTTATACATGTCGTAAGACTCGATACACCCACTTCTTGACTATTTTTCCCTTTAACTTACTAGTTTATCCATAATAATGAATTATCAATTCTAGAAAAAATAAGGTCATACTCAATAGGAAAACTCCGTTCTCAAACATATTTCAATCAGTAATTGCCAAACATCACCCAACCAAGGATTCCATCACTACCACTGCAATGTCGCAACCCCATCACAATCGTATGGGCAACAACAATTCAAAATAATAACAGTAAGGTTAAATAAAACCAATGGATAAGTTTTGCTCATAAACTTGGGAAATCACATTTCCCCACAACTACCATTACAAATTTCAAGCTCGCAAAAATAATTTTTTACAACTACCCCATCTTGGGGATCACACACAACCGACTAGAAAAAAATACCAAGCAATTTGCACGACTTGCCACTCCTTTGAGTGACACACACTCACCAAACAATCAATTTCCATTCACACACCTCATTTCTAGAATTTAGATAAGTACTGAGGTGATTCCTTGTCAACCTCTCCTACTGCAACAACAATAACTAATACACTACCTAAGAAAACCTTCTATACTTGCATCATCTACCTATACTCGCACAACACACTACATTTCTTAGAATCAAAGCCATGATACTAATTTTGAAGCTGTAATATGACTCCACACCACACTAAGATTATGATGTCCCACAAAATCTACCTGACTTCAATACCTTCTATAGCACAAACTTACTCAATGACAACTGCTTATATTGTTAATAAATAAATTAATTTCAGATTACAATAAAATCTCTCCAAATGAAATTCAATATGCTTTTCTCACCAATATAATACTACACCTCTAATAAAAAATTTCTAACTAAAATCATATTTTCAGCACTTCAATCCAATCACTACTAAAGCTGCTCCACCCTTGAAAAATAGTTTAACTCGAAAAGTCATTCACCACAACTTTTCAAAATGAAAAA